TGTCGTGGTGAGAGCCGTTGACGTGCCCATCCGAATGGATCTGGAGGTGGAAGCCGATGCCCACCCTGCAGTAGAGGCTGCCCGTTCGACGCCCGGAGGGACTCCACTTAAAGCTGCTCATCTCCGCGCCGCCGCTTTGAACTCCCGCGGAGGGGGAGGAATAAGAGGAAGGTGCGGAAAAGGAGGAGGAGGAGGAGGAAAAGGAGGAGGAGGAAGAAGAAGAGGAGGAGGAAGAGGAGGAAGAGGAGGAGGAGGAAGAAGAAGAAGAGGAGGAGGAAAAGGAGGAAGAGGAGGAGGAGGAAGAAGAAGAGGAGGAGGAAGAGGAGGAAGAGGAGGAGGAGGAAGAAGAAGAGGAGGAGGAAAAGGAGGAAGAGGAGGAGGAAGAAGAAGAGGAGGAGGAAAAGGAGGAAGAGGAGGAGGAAGAAGAAGAGGAGGAGGAAAAGGAGGAAGAGGAGGAGGAAGAGGAAAAGGAGGAAGAGGAAAAGGAGGAGGAGGAAGAAGAGAGAGGCGAAGTAACGGAGCGATTTCCCAGCTTGCTGCCGCTGCTGCCAAGGTTGTGGCGCTCGGCGGCCTCTCCAAATTGCGCCCGAGGGGGCCGCGGGTGCGCCAAAGCCGGGAGGCTCAAGTGGCCACTAAGCAAGAGGAAGAGGAGGAGGCAGCTGGAGAAAGGCAAGCTCATGCTTCCAGCCCGAGAGACGCGCCTGGCATTTTGAAGGAGGAGGAGGAGGAGGAGGAGGAGGAGGAGAAGCGGCGGCGGCTGCTGCTGCTGCTACTCCTCCCGCCGCTGCAGCTGCCGCCGCCGCCGCCGCCGCCGCTGCACCTACGGGGCAGCCGGCCGTGCGCTCCGCCGCGCCGGGAAGGCGGCATAGTCGTCGGCCCCGCGAGAGGGAGAGAGAATGAGCGAGCGAGCGAGCGAGCGCGGGGTTCCGAGAGCGCGGCGCTGGCACGGAGATATTTATAACCCGGGTGATCTCACGCAGCTTCTCTTGGACATGCTTGGAGTCTAAAGGAGGCTCGCTTCGCCAGACCTTCCCAAAGCGGGACGGGGGTGTGTGTGTGTAAGAAAAGGGGCGGAGGTGTAGGCGCGTCTGGCAGGACCACCGACTGGGGGGAGGAGGAGAGGAAGAGGAGGAGGAGGAGGAAGGACGGCCAAGCAGGCGAGGGTCACCCCTAGCCGGGCCGGAGAGGCGAAAAGAGAGCGCAAGCCGGCACTTTTACGCACCAAACGCGCTTTTACGCACCAGCTGGTGGGTTTTCTTCCCCGCCGGGCAAGGTTCCCGAATTGGGAGGAAGCGAGAAAGAGAGCGAGCCAAGGAGCCGGGAACGGAGCCGGGGATCTCTTTTGGCCAGGGGTGGAGGGTGGAGGCGGGTGTCACGTCTGTTCCCACGTCGGTCCGGAATCGCGGCAGGCAGTGGCGGATTAAGGCTCGCTGGTGCCCTAAGAGCTGACAAATCGTGGTGCCCCCCCTTCCTTTGTACATTCTGTACAAATCTTTATTTTTTCTTTCTTTCTTTCTTTCTTTCTTTCTTTCTTTCTTTCTTTCTTTCCCAACTTTGCGGTGCCCGCTTTGGGCCTGGTACCCTAAGCACGGGCTTAGTCTGCTTAATGGTTTCATACACCAGTGGCTGCAGGCGATGTAAGGGGTTTGTTTGACGGAAGCGCGGTTCGATCCCCGACCTCTCCATCCCGCGCTTCTGGCTAGCTCTCCAAAAGAAAATTAAAGAGGACTTTTGCAGTAGCGTCCCGCGGAATTCCCTGCCTCGCGATAGGATGGGTGGGTGCCCAACTTTCTCAACTTGAAGACCCCTGGGCTCCAAATTCCCAGAATTCCCCAGCCAGCGAAGAATTCTGGGACTTTTGGAAGTCCACGCGTCTTCAAGCGGTCAAGGTTTGAAGCGGGGGGGGGGATCCATCAGAGTGAAGAAGAAAATAAGTAAATGCAACAACGGAAGGAGGGAGAAAGAGGAGGGAAAAGAAGAAGAAAGGGAAAGGGAGAGGAAGTAAGGAAAGAGCAATAAGAGTAAGAGAAGGGGCAGGACGGAGAAGAAGAGAGGAGGAGTGGGGGAGAGGGAGGGGAAGAAGAAGAAAAGAGAAAAGAGAGGAGGGGAGAAGAAGAGAGAGAAGGGAGGATGAAAGGAGTTAAGGTTGTTGCAAAATAAATGGATGTGCGGGGGGGGGCAGGAGAGCGATCCCGATTATATTTTTAAATATATTGTGATATATTAATAGTACTTAGGAGAATATATATTTGTGAATGTATATAGGAGAAAGAAAAATAAAACTTAAAAAAGGGAGGAAAAATACTGGCGTGGAAGGTGTTTTTTTTTTTACAAGGCGCGGCGTGGTGAGAGAAGTCAGTGGAAGAGTAAGAAGGGACGCGAGTGTGTCCCTGTGACAACCAAACCTCGTGGCGGGGTTTGCAACAGGGGGGGGAAAAGCGTGCGCCGGGGTTAGACTAGATGACCCACAAGGTCCCTTCCAACTCTGTTAAACTCTAAACGGTTGCCATTTATAGCCCTCTGGTTGAAGACCCCCTCCCCAATCCGGATTGAAGATTCCCTATCCGGATCGCCTAAAAGATTCGGCATACCGTATAAACAGCTCACGGATCGGGCTGCCCGCGGGAGGGTTTTTTTTGGGGGGTGGGGGAGTAGATCTAAGCTAATCACCAGATCCCGCCAGCCCTCGACCGCCTGGGGCGGGGAGGAGGAGGAGAGCGGTTTTCATAATCTCAATAAAGGCGGGCTTGTTGGGCGGGGGATGATGGGACTGAGAGTACCAAAGAGGGCGCGCGCAAGGTTGCCTCCTTGTCAACTGGAGAAAGTCTCGCCGGAGCAAAGAGTCCAGTTTGGAAAGTCCCACCCAGGCCTGGAAGGACGATTCCTCCGCTGGCTCAAACGAACCATCTTATAAACCTGGGTTATATCTAGCTGAACGCCAGCCGGCGAACTGCGATACCGTTCTGCGCATGCTCGGTTGGCCGCATCCCCAGTTATTGTTTATTTTTTTCCACGCTTTCCAGAGCCGTAAATCAGGGTTTCCCAACCTTGGCAACTTGAAGATGTCCGGACTTCAACTCCCAGAATCCCCCCCACCCCCCCCCCCGGGCGGGGGGGGGTGTGGGGGGGGGGAGGGGGGGGCATCTCATGTGCGCGAGGGGG